GATTGGACGAAATGGCGTGCCAAGGTGATAAGCAGAATTCGCCACGACATTTATCCTTTTAGCATGTTTTAGAGCTACAAACTACGCAGACAGAATCAAACGGGCGTGGTTAAAAAGAGGGAGAAGACGACGGCCGGGGGGGGGGGGGGGGGGGGGTTCGGCTGAGAAATTTTATTGCATTCCAGGACAGATCACATCAGTAGCAATGATATCAACGTTGCACTGTTTCTAAGATGGTAAGCTTGCTGCATCCAGTCTCTAGCGTAAAAAGAACTACTGTTTGAGCGCCGTGCAGCTGAAAAGTTGGAAGCAAAAGTCACGACTCACAAATACGATAATCTTCGTCGTAGTTATACGTGTCATTGACAACTGTTTGAATGGAATCGCGAGATGGGGTGCGCAAGTAGGTGACCCTGCCACAGAGGCAGTATGTGCAAGCGTCACGCGAATCTAACTATGCCGACAGCATTTCACGATCTTTCTTTGCGCAAAAGTGAACTAGCGGTGTCTCCGACACCACAATGAGGTGATCACAAATGAAGCCTTTCAATATATACGTTCCGAGATCTGCCAACCAATTATTGCGACTTCAACGCGAGTGCGATTTGAAAAAAATTGGCAGGATATCCACGGAGTGAATGATGGAGAGTGGGGCGAAGCACTCGTCCGTCCATGCGTCCGTCTGTGTGACCGTTCATGCGTCCATCCACCCGTCCGTGCATGCGTCTGTTCGTGCGTCCGTCCCTGCGTTCGTCCATGCATCTCTTCATGCGTTCATCCATGCATCTGTCTGTGTGACCGTTTGTCCATCTATTCAACACTCCAAGTACCACCATCTCGCATCTTTTCATCATATATTCCCCATATAGAAGCACCGCCATCCAGCGGACATTCCAAGGACTAAACGAGAGGTGGCACACGCACACTTTCTTACGGCTTGCACTTCGGGTCTACTTCCCACCTTTAACCACCTCGAGTTCATGGTATATACTAGTTCACTGTATTCATGGCACTGCCACTAATTTTCTCAATCGATGCTCCTGTCTCTCCTTCCCTATTAGCAGCCATTGGCATGTACATTGAGCACTATTTTTTATTGTTCAACAACGCACAGACGAAATCTCTCACCACCACCACCACCTTGGAGGTCAAAATGTTATACTTGTTACACACTACAACGGCTACGAGGGACGAACGGGTGCCGCTATAAGGAGCTTCGCCCCTAAAAAATGGCAGATCCCACGTACACTGAGAATCGATGATATGCGAAGCACGAGTGAGAAATGTTGATATGTCACTTTAAAATCAGCACAACGTTACGAGGTGGAGGTAAATGATGCCATACATGACTTCCGTGTCATGATTATCATGTTTTTTATGTGTCGGTTAACCTCGTCATCTAACTATGTCACGTGATACCAAATTTAGTATATGTGGAGCTAGGGAAACGGCCGCGAGCACGCTATGATCGTGGTATGTTGTCATGCTCCTACATGGCAAGCTTCTCAGGATTATCATATTTGCACCAATCATATATTTCGTCATTCATTGACGTCACGTAACACCAAATTTGGTATATGTGCAGCTAGCGAAACGGCCGTGAGCGCATCATGAAGAGCCCAATATACTCCGATGTAGCGTTGACGCCCGCGCACACTGGGCGCAGCGACGCTACGTTAGCAAAACGCGAGCACTGACGCCAGGCTCGACCAGCGTCCGACGGCAACCGGCGCAAAATGCGACATGCTGCATTTCGCGCCGATGCGTTACCCAGACAACACTGCGTCTCCCTCTCTCCGTGGCGGAGGGACGCCAGAAGCGCTGAAATGCGCATGCGTCAAAGCAACGCAGCGCGGCGCGCACCTGCGAGTATATGGCAGCATAGAGTTTCTCAATATACACTAGAGGGAACTCTGGCGCTAGTGTCTATGGGAGCTGCAACACACGGCGCTTCAGCGAGAATGGGAATAATGGGTAGTACACACATTTGTCTAATTTTCGTACTTCTGGCCTGCTTCTGGCTCCGTGTGTGTCCGTGTGGCTTGAAGCTGTTTTTTCATGAAAACATAAATTAGTAAATGTTCACCGTTTGCGCTTCACAACCTTATTCTTTTAGGCTTACCATTTCGAATCAAGTCACTAAGTTGAAAGGGTTTGTTTTTTCTTTCAAAACAAAATTGAAACACAGCAATAAACGAAGCCGCAAGTACGATTCGCCGCCCGCAAGTACGAAGCTTAGGCAAATGTGTGTACTACCCATCATTCCCAAGCACGCTGAATGATCGCAGCGCCAGAGTGCCCTCTAGTTAATTTTGGGAAACTCTATGTATGGCAGGACCGGCGCCTGGCGTGGCAACGCCGGCGTGACGGGACGAAATGAACGTCGGCGAGCAGGAGCACCGCGTCACGTCGAAATGTATTGGCATCTTGACTGTGGCGTGCAGTCATGTTCTCACATGACACGCATCTCATGATTGTCATGTTTGCACTAGCCACATACCTTGGTCATCCATTGGCGTCGCGTAATACCGCCTTTGGTACATGTCAAGCTAGCGAAACGGACATGAGCGCATCATGTAGCCACGCTGCTAAATGTCACGCATCTCACGTTTATCATATTTGCACCAGTATCATACCTTCGCCATCTATTCACGTCCCGTAATACCAAATTTCGTATAAGTGAAGTTAGCGAAACGGCCGCTAGCGCAACATGAGCGTGGCATGTAGCCATGTTATTACATGACACGCATCTCATGGTTTTCATGTTTGCACCAATCGCATACCTTCGTCGTCCATTCATGTACCTAATACCGAATTTGATATATGTGACGCTAGTGAAACGGCCGCGAGCGCATCATGAGCGTGGAACGTAGTCATGTCGTTACATGACACACATGTCATCATTTTCAGGTCGGGGCCTGTCACTTGTGTTCACCATGCAATGTCATACAATACCAGTTTTCCAACATGCCATGTGAACGAAACCACGGCAAGAGTGGCCTACCAACTTTTTCGCAAGTGGAAGTTGGGGGGGGGGGGGGGGCAAGCTTATATATATATATAATGTGTGTGTGTGTGAAAAAACCAACGCGGGAATATCGGCAAAATATCACTATATTGTAACACAGCCTCGTAACAATTTCATTCTCCTGTAGAAACATAATTAATTACTGCTGGATTGAAAAACTACACTTTATTTCTTGGTTTCCCCAACGTGCAGCCAAGAGTGACCACTGTCGAAAGTGGTGGGGCTCAGCCCCCCATTTTTTCTCAGTGAGGGGCTCGCGCCCCGCTTGCCCCCCCCCCCCCCCCCGGCTGGTACGCCTATGACTGCAGGATCATGAAATGTAAATCATGACATCCATGATATACATGTCATGATTTTCATGTTATGACTAGTCAAATGTTCTTCATACAGTCACGTTATGCCATACCAAGTTTGTTATCGATACCATTATGGAAACGGCCAGGAGAGCTAAAAGCCGGAGGCAGATAGATGACAGACAGACAGACAGACACACAGACAGAGATAGATAGATAGATAGATAGATAGATAGATAGACAGATAGATAGATAGAAAGATAGATAGATAGATAGATAGATAACTTCTGTTGTTTAGAAGAATGTGGAAAAGGGGGAAAAAAGAAACAAACCGCGGGAAAACTCACGCAGACAGTAGAGCAAACGTCCATGCAGACAGCGAAGACAGCCTAAGCGCATTATGCCAGTAGCTGCGCACCTATATAGAGATCGGCTCCACGCGGCAGCAGAAGCCATGTGTCAGTGTAGCTGTGTGCACTTGCTATCGCTCAGAAGCAGATCGATTCGTAGATGTCCACGTATACGTCGATAAACACTTGGACGAATCATTCGTTTAATCTACTGCCGTGAGTGTCGGCAGCTGTGTGTTCCCTGTCATAGTTTCAAAATGTTCCGTTGGCATCGCGAGATTAGAACTTGGTGCCTACGGTGTACTGTTGAGTTTGTAGTGTTGTGCCGCTTTTCCAAGAGACGCATAGTGATGAGGTTTACTCATTTAATATAGGTTTATGACTCATGAGCCACAACTTGTGCTTCATGAGAAAACACATCTTGCGGATAGCAGATACTGTTATGCCTATCTCAGTCAAATAACATTGGCAGCCGTGCCCGGCAGATGGAGTTTTGAAGCGAAGCCCAAGGTCATTTTCTCAGGCGCCCTTTTTTCATACAGATTCCGGTGCCCACCCTCTTCGGAGCGGCCGGCAACCTTTGTTCGAGGTCGAACAGACAGCATGCTATTGTCCAATAGCCGACAGAAATCAAAAGCGGCGTTTGAATCATATGCGCATCTTGCCACGAGGGGTCACCACGTACCGGTCCCGCCCTCCCTTGAGCCTAGCATTACACAATGACCCACACTCGTGCAACCGTAACCAACGGGAGAAAGCGATTGCGTTTCATCACAAGCGTTCGAGCTGATGACAAGTGCTGACATGGGCGTGCACACTGTGGAGGGCACGGCGGGTGACTGCCCTCCTTAGTCACTCTAAAGGGGAGGGCCCAAAGTCTTTTACTCATATTTCAGGGTGAGAACATTGCAAAAAGCATTTACCCCCCCCCCCCCCCCCGAAGGGGAATCCTGCACAGGCCTATGTGTGCTGACTTAACTCATTTCACACATGCCATCCCTCCCAGTGTAGTTCCCAGAGTGCTCATTGGGTCGAAAGAAAGCACATATAGCACACGACAGGCTCCTGTAACACCACCGGGTTTCGACAGGAGGAGGAATAAACTTTATTATAAGAAACTAGCAGGTTTATTTGGTCGGGTCTAGGCCTCCCATGAGGGGACGTCAAGGGCTTGCCTCGACAGACTCAACAAATTTTCTCAATCAATTCGTGAGGCAATCCAGTCCAATATTGAGGTCGCCCAATGATCACGCCTACAGCGGTGTAATTCACGTAATCCATCAGTGCATTGAAAAATATTCGTCAGTAATAACAGCACACCATGAATGATGCCAAGGGAAGGCCAGTGCCAACTATCAACTGGAAATTTTAATGATGGAACAAAACTGTCTTTGTTCACTTCTGAAATGTACAATGAATACTAAAACTTGAAGAGATCAAATCAGGCTGTGAATGTCCTCGACACCGTGGAAAACCTAGATGGTTCAGTCAGCACGGCTGTTTGCCGCATAAGCCCTGTCGTGTGTGGTTGGCTGGCAGCCAAGATGTTGAGAAAGGCGGACCATGTGTCAGCACTCTGTAACAAATTAAGACGGACAACGTGAAGAATGTAACACTCGAAGTGATTGAAAACAAATGTTTATGATATTCATTTTCTTCAGGGCAACAAAGAATGTTTAGAATCTCGCCAATCAGAGAATTATGAAATGGTAACACAGAAAACGCTGTGAAATATTTTTACAAGGATATTTTTTTACAATGAACAGTGCTAAAGAGGCCATACATGCAACACATGCCATAAACAGTGGCAAGTGTGATAGGGATTAAGCGCAGGCAATTGAAGAAGGCATTATGTACTACATAGTTGTGTTTATCAACCTTGAGCTGCTGCGGTTAATCTTTCAATAGTGTGGTATTATAATGTGCTCTTGTCAAGTGCATGCACACATGCACACAATAAAAAGTCAGATATAGCCTAGAACGTATTTAAAATCAATTTTAAAATGCAAACCGCATAACTGAGCAAGATGTGGAGCCTCTCGCGACACCGACATCTATGCAAACAAACGTACGTGACGAGTTTGTGTTGGCTGGTTGTTGGAGCATGCCTTGCACTTGCGCTACCTTTGATTTTTTCCTCCGTGCCTACGACTTCATGTGTGCGAGCTATCAGTGATGCGCCCGCTCCCGCACACGGCGCCCACAACACAATTTCGCATGGTCAAGTGGCTAGCTGGGCTTACCTTGTCCCCGGAATTGCCATAATGATGTCCAGGGGTGTTCACGAGCAGTTGTTAATGCAGCACATGGGCTGGCTATGTCACCTACCTGGGCAATCTCGTGAGGCTCGATGTTGTGAGCTTGACAAAGTTTTGCAACAGCGTCCTTGACAGCAGGTTGCCACCATAACGCCACGGGACAGTAAGTGTCGCTCAGAGAAACGCCCAATGCTTCCAAGAGTTTTGGTGATAACTTCGGGCCAACGGCACATGCACGCTTCCATTCACCAGCGAGTGCCAAGCCGAGCCAGCTCACTTGGTCGTGGAACTCGTTGGTCATTGCCTTCAACCAAGGCTGCTCAAAACACTCTCTTGCATCTTCCATAAACTCCAGCAGGCTGCCAGGAAAACATGAAAACAAAAGAAATAGTTTGCAAAGTTGTAAATTACGATATATAAATGAGCAATGGGCTAAGTATACAGTAAAAGCGGGTTAATTCAAACATGAGGTGGGCTATGAAATTGTTAAAATTAAGCGGAGTTCGAATTGATTGTCGGGCTCTACAATGTACAAATGTATTTACCCCTGTGCAGGCAGAACCTAAAGAAGTCATTTCTGGACTCGTAATCACAAATTAAGTGCTACAACAAGTTTGTGGCAAGTGATTTTGTTGATTAAGTTCATGGAGCTTTTCACAGTGAATAAAACTTATTCATCAGTCATTAATACGCCAGAAACAAACGCCAGCATGCATTCATGTGAGCAGTGAAACCTAATGCCAAAATACCGTATTTACACGATTGTAAGACGACTCGAATGTAAGACGACCCCCCCAAAATCGTATTTCAAAAAAAAAAGATTGCGCGGATTTTACACAAGAGAAATTTATTCACGTGGTTGCGGAGGATTATTCATCGTCGCTGGAGTCGTCCTCGCTGGTGCTGCTGCCGTCATTGCTGCTGCAGTCCCACAGCACGTCGTCAAGTGTGAGTCCACACTTCGCGAACGACCGCACCACGGCATCGCGTGGGACGGCCGCCCATGCGGAGAGGACCCACTCGCACACAGTAGCCAGGGAGGCTCTCCTCGCACGCCCGCTTGGCGTAAGTTTGCAGCTTCCTGACGAAATCCACTCGTTGTATTCGCGGCGCAGGAGGTCTTTAAAAGGCTTGTTGACCCCCACGTCGAGAGGCTGAAGCTGCCCCCTCAAGCTGCCCCGACAAAGAGGAGCTCTTCCGTCAACTACCAATACCCCCCTACGGCGGCTCTTCCATCGATTACCGGTGCTTCCTCAAGAGTTGTGCGCTCGTCATAAAGGCACTCGTAATGCGCGCAGTAGATGCTAAAAAAAGAAAAGCTTTTGTATAAGCACGCGGAAAACTATGCGCTTTGGGTTGAGCGGGAAACTATTCGAGATGACAATACATGGTTCGATTTCGATTCTAAAGTACATGGTTCGATTTCGATTCTAAGACGACCCCCCAACATTGGATTGTCAAATTTGAAAAAAAGGGTCGTCTTACAATCGTGTAAATACGGTATATAATGCTATTTATGCTCCAAAACATGCTTATTTACATGGTTAATTTAACACAATTAAAATTGAAAGTGATCAGGGTCTCCCTTGATGTGTTCTTTGTGCGAGACTAAGGTTAATTTAACAAGAACAATCAATAATTTTCATATGCTTTCCTTTCTTCCATTGTGACCCAATGAGCATCATTTGCAACTTGCCCAAGAGCTCCAGCACAGCATTCCAAATCTAATCTGTTGAGAAATACTGCTCTTTCTTTGTTTTGCATCTTAATAAATTTAGTTTGGTTGATTTTACAATACTTTGTGATCACTTTGGGCAGACTTCTGTGTGAAGCGATGAAAACCGGGGGTTCCCGATTTAAATTATCTGTCATGGATGCCGGCCGACTTGTTCGAATTATCAGCAAACCACTAATATGCAGGTTCATGAAGTTCGTTCTCCAAGTGTCCAAGTAAGGAGAAAAAATGTGCTGCAATATCCACGAATTGAATGATGATGAGTGGGCGAACCTCCGCAAGTAAACTTGGTAAACCATGAATCCTCCGTACATTTTGCCCACTCGATTTTATTACGTTCCCCCTAGCGTACATCGCCGCACTAAATCGAACTATTGCCTTCCACCAATGACACGCGCCTTATGTCACATCATTCGAGTTTTATGAAATCTCCCATCTTTCATCATCAACTACAAGTACCGCCATTTAGTTTATAACATCTTGCATCTTTTCATCATCAGCTACAAGTACCGCCATCTAGTGAACACTGCAAGAACTAAAGGAGAGATGGCTACATACAGGGGACGCTTAGCCCATGCCTTAAGAAGCTTCGCCCCTAAAATACTTCAGTTGCTGTGATACATTCCAATCACAAACGGGTTCACTGCTGCGCGCAGGCTCATTCAACTGAACTAGCCTGAAAAATTAGGCTCTTTTAGAATTCGTCACTATAATCCATAATTGTATCTTTCCAAAATCAGTCTTTTACTAAAGCAGAACTGAACTTGACATAAAAGCTACCGGCAATAACAAAGAAGATTTTATATGTGAGCTCTAAAAATGGTGACATTTGAAAAGAATATTAAAAGTTGGCATTTGTGTCAACAGCAATTGTTTGGGGCACAAAAATTATTACAGTCGAGCCCACATATAACAGCCCCACTTAAAACAAACTTTCGCTTAAAACGAACAATGTTCGCGTGACCTAGAAAATATATATTGGTTCAATGGCACAAAATCGCACTTACAACAAATGTCTCCAAGCGCCGCTGATCGGTTACAGCGAACGGAATCGGCGGTCTGCTAACTTCCGGGAAACCAATTTCGACCACCGATCAGGCATCAGCGAGGTGCCCATACATCCTTATTGTTAAGCGCCGACCATGCCTCCGCGCCCCTCTAGTTGCCGCTCTCCCCGACCACTTTTTGTTACGCAACCCTTTGTCCTTTGTTCCCGCGCTACTCTGAGCACCCCGCATCGCCAGACGAGGCCCGCGTTTTCACACTGCCACCGATGTTTTGAAGACCGGTGGGCCATCTACCCTATTTTCGATCGCTAGTACTGTCGTTGGCGTTGCCAGCCTGGAGTGACCAGACTATTTGCCAACATCGTCGGTTACCGACTGTGTCCACTAGTCTGCGCCTAGTGCACACGCGTACGTTACCCCACCGACTCTGATAATTTGCGATGCGTTTTGTGTTTAGGAATTGTTCTCGCTCACTTTGCACTCAACTCAGCAAGCGCGGAATGGCGAAAACGACTGTTAATTTGCGGGGAACGAATCGCGAAGTATAAAGTTCGTGAGGCCACGAAAACCTGCCGGTGCAACAAAACGATTTTTTTAACATAGCCGCCGATTCTTCGAACACCGCCGCGTGCACCGATACAGGCGGCCATGCACTCTTTCCAAGATTTAAAGACGATAGTCTTTCTTGGGGACCTGCGACAGAAAAATTTTGGTCTCTCTGTCTGTACATTTGTCTGTTTGTTCACTCCTAACGGCACCGGATACTTGAACGGCCGACCCCATACGCAGCGCCCACCAATGTTGCTCAAGGTTTAGCCTTCATACTAGTGCAATTATCAATTAAAAAGCAATTATTGCACATGTCTGGGGCACCATAACAATACGCATGTATTCTGCATGTGCGTCTTTTACTAAAAAAAAGCATACATAGTGCCATGAACTGTTCGCCACCGCTAAACAAGCGCTGCCAGTCTACGCTGCGCACGCCTTCTATCTTATCTCCCCCTTCCCCTTCCCTTACCTTTCGTCCTTATAAAAACCCAAGTCGGACAATAAACGCTCGCTTTTTGCCCTGGCCACTCTGTTCGTGCATTTCGGGGCGCGGCTCAGCCGCGAGGGCCGCTTATTACAGTGGCGACGAGGATTTCAACAAAGAACGAGACCCAGCTGCTTCCTGAAGGCGGGCAAGCAGCCACCACATCGACAGCCATGAGTCACCGCCTCCCGGAATTCAACAACAACACAGATAAGTGGCAAGCGTACCTCGTGAAGGTTGAGGCTTATTTTGAAGCAAACGAAGTCACTGATGATGCCAGGAAAAGAGCCCTGTTGGTAGCCGAACTTGGGTCGCGAACGATTGATGTACTATGCGGTAGAGTGGCACCGCAGAAGCCAAACGCACACGGCTACGATGCGGTAGTGAAAGTTCTAAGCGAGTATTATGACCCACGACCAAACGAAATTTCAGAAAGCTTCAAGTTTTTCCACCGAAACCAGCAGGAAGGAGAGTCTGTTCACGCATTCATTGTGGAAATACGACGCCTAGCGCATAACTGCAACTTCTCGTCCATGCTGGATAGGATGTTAAGAGACCGTATCGTGTGCGGGGTACGTTCAAGAAATTTGCAAAAGCAGCTGCTCGCGAAACCTGAGTTGACATTACAAGAAGCAGAGGCACTTGCGTTGGCGGCAGAAAGGGCAGAGTTAGATGCGGAGAACATAAACCGAGAAACGCCCCCGGTAACAGTGTCGGCAATGAAAGAGCAACGCTGGGTGCCGTGAGGCCAGAAGAAAAACGAAGACGAAAAGCTATGCGAGTGCTGCGGAAAGCGTAATCATAAGCGTGCGACCTGTTCAATGCGTGGGAGGCACTGTTACAAATGTGGAAAACAAGGGCACTTGGCACGCATGTGCCAAAGGATCGACAACGCGTTGAATGTAACAGCCCAAGCCACCGACAGTGATAGCAGCGCGTCGCAACTTTGGTCCGTAACATCGAAAAATTCATTGGTGCCACCGATTCAGGAAACGTTCACGTGGAACGGCGTAAAGCTGAAGATGGACGTGGATACCGGCTCGCCCGTATGCGTCATTCCTAGAGCAACCTACAAAGCCCACCGTCATCAATGGCCGAAGTTGCAGGAGCCGAAGATAAAGCTGGCGTGCTATTTGGGGAAGCTACCCGTACTCGGAGTACTGTCAATGCGTGTATGCCACAAATCGGCGGAGGTTGATTGCAACCTAATTGTCTTGGACTGCGAAGGTCCTCTCCTGTGCGGTCGTGATTTGCTGCAGAAACTACAAGAGCAGGGCGCAGCAGTACTCCACGTAGCTGCGCCACCACTCGGGGCGAGCCCGGAGTCTCCGCCCGCGCCTGCTGTGTTGGACCGCTACTCCGACCTGTGCACGGAGGGCGTAGGACTCATGAAAGGCCCACCGGTGCGCCTTCACATCAAGCCTGGAGTGACGCCAAAGTTCTTCAAGGCAAGAAAGGTACCCTATGCTCTGTTGGATAAAGTTTCAGAGGCATTAGATCGACTCGTGGCAGCTGGAATTATATCACCAGTGACGCACTCGGAATGGGCTACGCCCATTGTTCCAGTATTAAAGAAAGACGGCACAGTTCGCATTTGCGGTGACTTCAAGGTTACTTTGAACTTAGTATGCGAGCTGGAACAATACCCGCTGCCTCTTATCGAGGATATTTTTGCGCAATTAGGTGGGGGGGAGCGGTTCAGCATTTTGGATTTGCGCGACGCCTACAACCAGATCCCGCTAGACGAAGAGTCTCGCAAATTGGCCCTGATAAACACCAACAAGGGCCTCTTTTGCTTCAACCGCCTCCCGTTTGGGATTGCTTCGGCACCAGCGATATTTCAAAGGTGGATTGAATCAATCCTACAGGGCTTGCCTGGGGTGCAAGCGTACCTAGATAACGTGTTGATAGCGGAAGAGGGTGACAGCGAAAACCGCAATCTGATGGCTGTGCTCGAGCGCTTCCGTGAACATGGCATTAAGCTTCGTGCTGATAAGTGCCGCGTTAGCGAGCCCTCTGTTACATATCTAGGTCACCGTATTGACGCGAACGGACTGCATCCCATGGAAAAGAACGTGGATGCTATCAGGCTAGCCCCCTCTCCACAGAACGTCTGCGAGCTACGCTCATTTCTGGGCATGGTAACCTTTTATAACAAGTTTATGCCCGACTTGTCTACCATTCTAGCGCCGTTGTACAAACTGCTGAAAAAGGACGCTAAGTGGACGTGGAGCACCAACGAAAAGAAAGCCTTTGTCTAGGTGAAAAATGCGTTGTGCGCGGCACCCATACTCACTCATTCTGATCCGAACCGTGAGCTCTTCTTGGAGTGTGATGCGTCCCCATACGGAGTTGGTGCTGCACTTTTTCATCACACCGAAGGCGAGAAGCGACCCGTAGGCTTTCGATCGAGAACGCTGACAACTGCCGAAAGAAAGTACTCTCAGATCGAGCGCGAGGCGTTAGCCTTGATATTTGGTGTTACTAAGTTTAGGGACTACCTGTTGGGCCGAGAGTTCACTCTGGTTACGGATCACCAGCCGTTGCTGGGCCTGTTAAGGCACGACCGTCAGACCCCCGTCATGGCGGCAGCCAGAATACAAAGATGGGCGCTACTACTTGGTGCATGCAAGTATAAACTGCAGTACAAGCCGGGAAAATTTATGCTCAACGCGGATGGATTAAGCCGGTTACCCCAATCTCTTGAACAGGAGCTGCAGGACGACGAGGATGCGGCCGAGTACGTCCTCGTCGTGGACCAGTGGGACGAGCCGGCGATGCCCATGAAAGAGCTTCAAGCCCTCACGCAGTCAGACGGCGTACTGTCAAGTGTGTGCAGATACGTCATCCAAGGTTGGCCACAACGCACTGCGGAGGAAGGCACAGAGATGCGGGAGTATCACAAAAGGCGGAACGAGCTGTCCGTGCAGCATAACTTACTTCACTGGGGTCATCGTGTTGTGGTTCCGGCGGAAGCCAGGAAGAAACTACTGAAGTTATTACATGGAGCTCATCAAGGAGTTTCTGCAATGAAGGCAGTTGCACGGTCAAAACTTTGGTGGCCAGGCTTGGACCACGATATTGAGCGCTTAGCCGCTGTGTGTCAGCACTGCGTACAGGCGTTGCCCATGCCACTCGCGCAAGCACCCATTCGCTGGCCAGAGACGCAGGAAAGATGGTCGCGATTGCATGTCGACTTCGCGGGTCCGATCCAAAACAAGATGCTTCTTGTCGTCGTGGACTCTCACAGTAAATGGATTGAGGCCATTCCCCTGGCTCACGCGACCTCGCGCAACACAGTCGATGCCCTGCGAACGCTGTTCAGTAGATTCGGTCTGCCACACACAGTAGTGTCTGATAATGGCACGCCATTCACCGGATGGGAGTTCAAGGAGTTCTTGCAACAGAACGGGGTAGTTCATGTGCGGGCACCCCCGTACCATCCACAGAGTAATGGACTCGCCGAACGTGCGGTGCGAACCATCAAAGACGGACTAGTTATTTTAAGGACCACTGCGGCGGCGATTTGTGGCAGCGCGTCGTCGACTCCGACCTGGGAGAGCGGGTGGGACATCTGTTGCGATGGTTTAATTACGGCCGATGATGATGATGCTGACACTGCGGAACCGTGGACGGATTAGGGTATTGTGAATAAAGTGCGTGGCGAGAGCGATTTGGAGGAATCGGATTGCGAGAACGACGAAACTTTGGATCCAGTGCCTCATGCAGCTCATGCCACGGGCCTCGGCGAACGAGCACCCTGCCGTTTTAAATGAACTCGAGACCGCCCTTATCGCTTGTGCTCTTCGAAACACATGCATCACGGACTTTTTGGGACAAAAAAAGTTTGTTTTCACTCGCAAATTCTGTTAAAAGCTGCGTTTCATTTACTACGAACTTTGGGATACAGCGAACGGATGCCGCGTCATGCTCAGGTTTGTTATAAGCGGGCTCGACTTACTTATATTATCTCTTCCTTGTAGGCTGTAGATGCAATCACAGGCTATTCTAGGTTTTTAAAGCATCTTACCTGCCGCCATGACATGTTCTACATTATGACATGATTACGAGTGGCACCACCAACTTTCAACTATGTTGTGAGAATGGAAAGGGCTCCTGTTTCTTTCAGACTTCACAGCTTACGTACTGCAATTGGTTGGTTGAGCTACTGGCAATATCAATCAATGAGAATACAACAGAACATTTATTGCATTGAACACTGAATTCACAGCAAGCACTATAAACAACCACAACCTGGTGATAGTCTCATGTAAGTGAAAAGCTGTCAAACACCTGAGGAAGAGAATATGGCTACGTGGTAACGCTGCCACCTCTTGCTACTTTTCCTGTAAACAAAAATTCCGCCCTTTCGCCAATGAAGAGTGTATCAAAGTACACTTATTCTTCTTGAATGCAGCAAGGCCTTGTTGTGCCCAAGTACAGTTATGTTTCTACGAATACAACACGGCCTTGTTACACAGCAGATTACTTTTTTTTCAGGCTCTTTCCAACTACTCACCTTAAGCAGGTTCTGCTGAGTCCATCGATGAGAAGCGAATTGCGCGAGAGGACTGGAAGCATTATAAACTGCCACTCGGGCAGGCCCATGAGTGCGACTCCCGATTTCCTGAACATATTCAGTCTCTATAGTAGAATGGTAAGAGGAAAAGACAGAAGGCAAAAGTTGACAGAGTGTTTTGAAAGCAAGATTCGAACGGCTGGTCAGCGTAAAGCTCGAAGCATAGGCCGTCACCATCATGTTTGCAAACATTATTTTTTGTGATTTTACTTACTTATGGCTGAGTAAACGATGGCAATTGTGTCTGACGTGCCGGACAACCACTTGCGATGAGCGCAAGTGAAACGCACGGTCGCCGTACTGCACCTATTCCATTTAGTAATGTGTGTAATTACCGCGAAGTTCTCTGTGCAGCAGTTCAGCTCCGTTCGTAAACGTTATTCGAGCCGCATGAGTCCTCCTGCAAGTTTGTCACGTGCCAGCGTTGCACATAATAACTCAGCTTTCACGCAGTACAATAGAACAGCGTGGCACAGCCTGGCGTGCCCTCACAGTGCTATTAAGTACATGGGCAATAAATCTTAAAATCTCACAGTCCACAACGCATTTTGCCAGGTATGCACGACTTCTTCCTTAGTGTACTGTTTACAAACTGCACTGCTAAACGAACTGCGATACAGTGGAAAAACAGCAGCAGCGTCTGAGCTTTCTGCCAAGGAATAGTGGACTGCAGACTCAAGATAACTTTGCCAGATGCCCTTACGTTCTTCAGCACTATAAAAAAGAATATGAGTTAAACTGCAAGGACAGTGAATTCACAGCAAATCTAGCTACAGCATGAACTTCACAGAAGTGTCCGTGGGTCACTTGCTTCCTGTGGCATACAATAACTAGCCTTCATGCCGGTTTCTCAAACATAGTCAGGGCGGATAACTGAACAACTTTGCTCCAAGTGCGTAGTTCTTATAGTTATTGGCACAGTTTACAACACAGATTAAATGCATACAGGCCATTGTGAAGCATTGCTAACAATTTGATGTGGCTGTGCTCATGGGTTAGCTGCTGCACGGAGCACGCCAATTCCTTTCGTTCACTCCCACACCGTGGCACCACAGGCTCAGTGCACGTTTCCCAGAGCAGTGGGGCAGTGGACAAGGATTGGAAAGGTAAGGCATAGCATAGCCATGTATAGCATCACGCAGGCAGTACCTTCTGCAGCACAGCCATATAAGTGTGGCATAGTAAGGTTGCGAGAAAGAGAAGTGAGAAAGAGAAGGGAGCAGAGGGTAAGAGAGAGAAAGTATCACATAGCCATATACGGTGCTATGAAGGCAGAACCATGTACACCACAAGCATGTACAGTAATTCTAAAAGATTTACTGCAACACAAACTCCACAAAAATGTACAAAAATTACATAGATGTTTTGCAACCTATGCAGTTAGCATCCCTAGTGCCACAAACACTTCTTGTTTTCGCTCTTGCTGTATTTGGTTTACGCCCACAAAGACTGCCAGCGACGGTCAGCGCAAACTGCAACTCAGTGCTGTAGAAGCTCAGTGTTCTAGAGAATCGTTTTGTTAAGGTTACGTGCACAACACGAACATTACAGATTAATCTGAAATTTACATGGCCGCTAGCGATAACGCTGGTATATTTGATGGCACATGTATACTAAATGCCGACGCGCGTAACGGCCTGTCACTTGATAGAAAGCCGATGCTCTGTTCGCTGCTATCAGTGCCAGTGTGTTGCTGTAATCTGACTTTCTGTTTCCTGGCCACAAGTTTGGCCATATAAAAAGTTTCATATTCGACATACCGTCTGCTGCCTTCATGAACGTCCCGACCACGTGACAGTGACACGTGGCATACACTGACAACAAACGAGCGAAGGTCACCCACTCCACTGCCAGTTACATAAGTACCTATGTTAATTACTGGTAGGAGGCCACGGTTGTTGCTGCAAGCCGATTTATCGCAACGGATGAACAACAATTCCAGGAATTTTTTTCTCAGCTTTTGTTTCTAAACAAGCATCGTCACATTGTTAAGTCGAAGGTATACCCTGTTGTACAGCAATGTTCAACAAGCTCTGTCTTGGAATGCATGACATAGGTAGCATTAGCAATGTCCCCTCTGTGTTCTTTGAGTGTTGTTATTCTTTTCTATCCTGTTTTGCCTATGTAAGTATCGCTGCAATCCTTACATTGTACATTGTAAACGACCCCGCTTATATCGTTCGCAGGTGTATAGTCTTTGGGCTTAGCGGACTTGTGTCCCAAGGTACAATAAGGCTTGAAAATAGTTTCTATGGCCAGCAGATGCAAGACTATCCTAACAAAGCCTGATGTACCTCGAACGTAAGGAATAGACCCAATGGGTGTCTGCTTTCTTCGCGACATGCTCCTTCTTCCTTTTCGCATGCTCTCCTGGGTGTCATCAATAAATGTCCTGGAATAATGCTTCATGTCACCGCAACTATGATTAGAGCACACCACATCACCAAGTGACACGATCGTCCTGACGACAAACTGTTTGTGTTCAGCCACGGTGACGAGATTGAAAGGACGAAAATTCCCAATGTCAGATTGCTTCTGGTAGACTGTCGTTTCCACCCTGCCATTGTCACCCCTATGTACAATCATTGACAGGCTACAGTACTCTTGACAATAAAGACCGAGTTTTTACGAAGCAGCAGTCATTAGAAGCCTTAATAAAATACGTGGAAGAAATTGTGTTTGTACTGCAGGAAGTCGACTGCAACTACGTGCACTGCTCAAGTCGCATACCGTCAGCTATAGGACAAGATTTGACCTCGTGTAGGAGCAGTGATATCTCAGATCACAGGCTCACCATGTGGTAAAGCTCGAAGATGGGCACCATAATCTCGACGAGCCTGTCCGGGTGAAATTCCACTAGTGCCATGCCGACTGCGGTTAAGTTCCGATACAAGGTGTGTTAATGCCTTCACGGTTCCCTCGCCGTAGGTCCTGTCAAACACAAAACCCCTGCAAGAGGACAACAGAGTTTTACAGACAAGCTTACCAGAAGAAATGACAAATGACCATGCAGCACACATTACACTACAAATGACTGTCAAATTATTTCATCAAAACATGGAATCTAAAGAGAATTCCAGCACGGCAATATAATCAATTGGTAGTTTTAGTGTTGCACTGTAACACATACAGCTGGACAGCCATAGCATTTAAACACAGTGAAATACAGGATTTCAGACTTTAATCTTACCCACTGCCTGCTAGATACTTGCCTTACCTGTTACTAAATTTGGCTTCGGTTTTGAGACGTCCTTGAATGAAACATGGACCCACGTTTTAGGAGTCCCAAGCAGGAAATTAGCAAATAATTGATCCATTTCACTTTCAGAGAAACTGGCCATAGCATAAAATTGAAGTGTGTCTTCATTAAATCAGTTTTCCACCTACGTTTCATAATGATGTAAATTTAAGTTTAGTGGAACGAAAGTTGGTTTACTTAATATACACAATCATTACTATTATCACTATGACAAACAAGATGCACAGTTCTCTGGATGGCCTACAGTGCATTTGTTGTCCTGCATCTATCACATGATACCTCAAAGTGAAATAACAAAATGGTAGTCCATGCCAGGCCACTTTGCTAGTCCCTCCTGCAATGCGCTAACTTCTCTGAAAATACAAAGAACACGACACACAATTAGCTTGTTGCCGCTTGCTGAATAACTGATAACTGATTATCTGAAAGTGCAGTCATAATCTGGCTTAAGGCACTGTCATCATTCACATGCTGCCCTTAAGTCCGCAACTTGGCATGCGCCGTGGAAGTTTCCTACAATGTGCCATCCACGGTGGCCTTGTTGTGATGCTGCTTGCTACAACTAAGCTGTTAGGAATACAGTTTTCGTTTTCGTTGCATAGACCGGACCACCCCTTCAGATAAATTTTTAAATCTTTTTTTGATGAATTTCATAGAAAAACACAACACACAGAAATGCAAGCGATAGGATCGGATGAATGCTGAAAGAACTCACTGCGATCCACTCTCCTCACATTAAAATTTTCCTGGGCCGGGTCGAAAATAGAACATTTCGATTAGAGATGACATTCACTTTGCCTCGAGAGCAGTGAAGTTGGATGCTGCAGCTGCTATGGTAACCATTACTGCACTAACCAATGGTGTCAGGCAAGTGCAAGATGGACCAGCTAAGTTTTAATTATTGGGTTAAGCAAATTGCAGTATTGAAATAATGAAAGTCTGGCTGCCCCAGAAATGTATTGTAGCGAATCGGGATAACTAACCATACCTCGCACCACGGCATCGCGTGGGACGGCCGCCCATGCGGAGAGGACCCACTCGCACACAGTAGCCAGGGAGGCTCTCCTCGCACGCCCGCTTGGCGTAAGTTTGCGGCTTCCTGACGAAATCAACTCGTTGTATTCGCGGCGCAGGAGGTCTTTAAAAGGCTTGTTGACCCCCACGTCGAGAGGCTGAAGCTGCCCCGTCAAGCTGCCCCGACAAAGAGGAGCTCTTCCATCAACTACCAATACCCCCCTACGGCGGCTCTTCCATCGATTACCGGTGCTTCCTCAAGAGTTGTGCGCTCGTCATAAAGGCACTCGTAATGCGCGCAGTAGATGCTAAAAAAAGAAAAGCTTTTGTATAAGCACGCGGAAAACTATGCGCTTTGGGTTGAGCGGGAAACTATTCGAGATGACAATACATGGTTCGATTTCGATTCTAAAGTACATGGTTCGATTTCGATTCTAAGACGACCCCCCAACATTGGATTGTCAAATTTGAAAAAAGGGTCGTCTTACAATCGTGAAAATACGGTAACCATAACCACTACGGCCAGTGCAAACCAGACGAGACAGCAAGAAGTGCATGACAACACAGGCATCTAACAGCACCTGCGTTGTGTGGTTTCTTCCACCTCTTGTCTTGTTTGCAATGGCCTTCGTGGATAGAAATGTATGGGTGCCAGCTGAGACCTTAGCTTGTGATTAAACAAATTGGTGGGCAACGACCTTCTACTATCATGTTTCGAATGGTGTACCATCTAGTTATTAAACTGTTTCATATTTATTTGGCATAGTAATATAATAGCACATTTTTGTGGCATTCATTGCATCACATGACAACTAAGTGTAAATAGCATGACCCGAAGATTTTTGTCCGATCACAGAGAACTATTAGGGGATATGAAATGTGAAGTGCAATACAAAAAGTCTAAAGCTATTGCATGCTACATCTCGTGAATTAGTGTGAATACACTCAAAACTCATTATAACAAAGTTGCATCTTACACAAAAAAGAGTTTGGTATAGCCAAAACTTCGTTATAAATGTATATTTCAGGCACTATAATTATTGCGAGACTATTTTTCATTTACTTTGCTTATGACCAATATTTTTGTTATAACCGGGTTTGTTATATCGAGGTGTGAGACTAGTGCTACAGAGTAAAAAATGTTTGTTGGCTGCACTTGTTAAAGACTTTTCTGTGCTGTTCGCCCTATGACTGTTTCCTAGCTACACCTCACAACTGAGAAGCTACGTCAAAGAAACGACACCCTGAGCACGACCGGTAGTTTGCCGTAATCTAAAAGTGGTCCTATGCATTCACGAGATCCACCGTTTGGTGGTAAAATGAGATAGTACTATGCATGAAATGAAAGAGAGAATCACTGCATAGCTGCACAAGCATGCCTCGAAAGCTTCAGAACCAGAGAGAGCACAGACCTGCACCCTTGAGAGCGGGGTACCTCCACCAGACACCAGAAACGACACAGCTCGGTGAGGCATCGAAATATGCTAACCTGCAAGATAGCACAATACGTGACAAGTGCTATTAAGTCACTGAGATACTTTATCTAGAGCTTATGTAATGGCCACGTGTTAAAGTACACTTGCAAAGCAAAGAACTTTGAGCCAGACATCTCTGAGCCACCAGGTAGTGTTTCCCGACATTATGCAAAGTCTTGCCTGCATCTTATTAAGGCAATATAATTCGTTTGCAAAAGCCTCGTGGAAACAAAGAAACAACACAATATTATGACCCTTTAATTATGGGAGTACAAATGATTAATACTTTCATTAGCAATGTTCCAACCTCCCAAAACAGCGCCAGGCCTAGGAGAGATACTATTGTTGTGGGCTTCAGATTAACTTTTCACCACCTGAGAATTTTACCCCATGTGATGGGTTTAACAGCTTATCATTCCTTTCACATTTTGTATTCGCCATTGCACATGTCTATTTTCCTTGGATGATGACACTTGTGCAATAAAGATTCAGTAAGGCATCGACACATCGATGTGAGCTTTTACAGTGTTCTCGTTTTATTTGCTCTGAAGGTTAAAAGCGAACCGTGGTTAGTGAGCCTCGAATTCAGCTTTCTTAAATAGCTTACAAACAAGAACCACTGCCCCACCTGCTTTTCAAGGCTCTGGAAGAAGAACAGCTGCATGAGTGGCTCCCAGATGCAAGAGAAAAAGTGGTCAGGAGAGGTCAGTGAAAAGTTGGACACAAGAGCCAGGATCTGCTCCCAGTAATGATCACCATTCCACGTTGCCACACAGTTCATAAGCCACTTATCTACGGCAGGTGGATTCTCCTGAACAAAAAAAAAACAGAAAACCACCAGCATTTATGGATTACCACAGGACGCATGGTTCGGCACTGTAACTATGCACACGACATCAATCTCATCTCGACTTCAAATATTAATACAGTTCTAGAAAGAGGTTCTCCAAGACAACGTTCAGATCATACTTTTCACAACCAATTTCAAACTTTATATGACATACCTTTTTATATACACAAATGACAAAGATCAGTTAAAGCAACTCAGTACTGTAACTGTGCATATGACATGAATCTCAGCTTCACAAGTAGCAACAATCAGTTGAAGAAAACAACCATTAATACAACTTGTTCATAATTATAATACAATGGACATGCTATAATTCAAACTCTGATGCTATCTTGTACTCTTGGTTAATTCCAATGAATTTCAAACTTTTGGTTGGCCTGCTAAATTTTCAACAAGTTTAAAAGGTGTTCATTCAACGTTCGCCAACTGGCCCATTCTGCTTATTTAAATTTTTGTTCATCCTTACTTATCCACTTGCTGGAAAAGCTAGCTGCCTTTGTTTTGTTTTTTTTCAACAGAGCATTTAGGCTCATATACAGTGGACACTCATTATAAGGAACTTTGAAGGAACCAAGAAAATCCATTTCATTTTACAGGAGCTCCATTTACTAAGAGGCAAACAGAGGTACAGTTTAACCATTTTATAAGAGTCATGCACCATACAGCAATTCCTGTCTTTCATGTGAAGTGTCTCTTATAACCAGGGTATTACATATAAATAATCTGATTAACACCTATTTGAATGTAGGCACACTGGTGTCTATTATATCCATTTGTCTTTTACATCAGCGTGGAAGTGTACTGACTGCGAGCATGAAAACAATTATTATGATAGCAGTCAGTTCATTATAGTAGCAGTTCCATTTAAAGGATATAAATTTACTGAGAGAATACTCTATTATTCAAAAAGCCGCAAAAAAAGCCAATTCCCTGCCTGCAATTTCCAGTGGTCAAAGCCATGAGAAAAAAAAGTAGCAAAAAATATACACAAGGACTGCAGAAAATAGATGTAATAATCAGCCACCTGTGCTTTTACTGGTATTTTACACACAGTTATGCTCCTTCTTGCAATTATAATTCAGTGTTCTGATAATTCAAGCTAAACTCTGGTATCTCCAGAATTGAAAGTGCGAATAATCGAGAATCTGCCAAATCTGGGATGAAGGACTGTTTATGTGAATGGCAAATAAAACAGATAAGGTGAACAGCAAAGCTTGTAGAAAGCTATCGACAACATTAAAGGAATGATGTGCATGAAGGCAAATCTCATAGGGGATATATTTTAAGTAACATTGGCCATTTGTCAGCATGATTTCACATAGAATGGAGCTGATGACCAGCTTATTATTAGCGGTTATGTAGAGCTTACAGAGTAAGTTGGACATCCATCATGGTCGAGGATGCCAGCGGTAATGGGGAAAGGGTGATCAAGTGCGACAAGTGCTTGAGCTGATTCCCCGTGCTGAAATTGTTTGTCAATTTACCTCCTGAGATGTGAATGGCTACCAAAAAAGCCTACGTAGTGTCCAAGAAAGGCAAAGTGCTGAATAAAAAGATAACTGATTGACTCTTAAGTTTACTTTAACGATGCAGGGGCCTTTGTTCTCACCTGGAGTATGCTGACCATTGTTGCCAGTGATGTGAGGAACTTCTTTCCTTCAACATTTTCTGGACTCATGAACACTGGACAGCCAAAGTACAGCAATGTAGCAAGAGCAGCTTCGCAAGCACAAATCATTATCACCAAGACTTAAAACAATGTCAGCGGCATCAGATGGCGGAGAGGTACAGCAGCTTTCATTAGTCAATGATGCCAGCAGAATGCACGAACATGATGGAAAACTTAGGGTGTCTCCACGAGTTAAATAAGTTGAAATGTTAAATAATGAGGCCAAATTTCAATAATGCACCATCTACTGAATGCCCCATCAACTGGTAAAACACTGGACAACTGATTCCAGCCCGAGATACAGACTATACAAGGAAAAAAATTGGGCTAGTAGGCAATAACTGACCTTAGACACCTCAACAGGTGTGAAAGAATTCCAACACAATGTACAGATGCACTTTCAGAATGGGCGCAGACACAGCATCAAGCTGGTGAGGCCCTTGCATCCATGGCAATATCAAAGTGCGTTAAACGACTTGCCCACTGAAAATTCTCCGACCTACCTGCTTCCTTTGTCTATGCATGCTTCCAAGACATAATGATTACAATGTTAAGTTTCTGTGTTAGAGGTACTGCGTTTGAAACCAATGGAAATGTTTTTTTCTTGCAATGCTTTCTTTCCAAATTCCGTTATTTAGATCAAGTGGCCATGCTATTGCCCACAGACAACTCACAAATGATTTTGCCAGGCGTTTTGCTCACATAGGGTCTTCCTGCTTCAAATCAGGCTCCTCGAAGATGACACAAAGCTCTATTCTACCAGAAATGACAGATCACTTAGATGAATTGCCTCTTTTGGTACACCAGCATAGACTGAGGGCATGGCATACCTGATCTACTGAAACGAACCTACTGTTTCAAGTGCAGTTATTGTTTTCAGCTAATATATTATTAGCAGCACCCAGAAGAGGTGTAATTAAACTTTATAACATATTCAAAGATGGTGTGGGAGCATTCAGGTGGTTTCGCTTGTTGCCTTCAATATTCGAGTACATCTTGGCTTACGAGGACTGATGTATGCATGTAATATTTGGCATTATTGACATGCTGCGTACCAGCCCAATCAGATATTTAGAGTGCAAGTGGCAAGTGTAGGGGGAGAAACAAATAAGGTAGCCAAACAACTCACCATCATTGAGTGTGATTCGCAACTGTCCCTGAAAGTAGGCCAGCTGGCGATGCTTTCCCTCACTGACCATGGCCTTCAATATTTCCGGGTTCAAAAGCACTTTCATCAAGTCGAGGGGATGCCTCTTGAGAACAAAAAACACACATTTTGTAAAAAATACCATTTTTACATGGTGACACAACAGCAGAAGACTACAAGCAATTTGAAAGTAAGCAAATCTGGCTGCAGGTGTAGTGTGTCACACACAACGCACCAGGAATTGGACACAAGAAAAGACGTTCACCCGTTACAATCTTCAGTTCCTGAATAATGTTTAGAGCTCAGATCTTGGACCGTCCCTTCCTGCACTAAGCTGCGTTGATGGTGGCATAAGCGGCTTAGCGAGCGAGGACGAAAGGGAGAGAATGTGGAGCACTGTGGAGGATAATAGATGGCGATAGATAGGACAGGGCGGGAGAAGGAAACGACAGTGGTGATACAATGGGTTCTGCAGCTGCCATCGCGGCACCACAGTAGTGTGCGCTGTCGTACGGTCGCCGACATCTTCACTAAGGTATGAGGCAACGGCGTCAAACAATACCATGCACAAAAATAAAGTGCTGCTTGAACGGATGCCTGTATGCGGCAGCTGTTGTGGAACGGGCCCACAGGCTACATTTGGTGGTCTCCCGGTTAGTGAGGCAGTCGCGCTACGCTCCATCTGAGGCAGTTCATGTAAAATGTACTGCATGAAAGTGTCCATGCCAGTTACACTTGTACACATACATAATGACGCGCGTGTGGGCCAGTGGTGGCGAGAACGAAGCAGCGCGAGTGTCCTTAGCCGAGGGCAAAAGACGAAGAAGTCGTTGCAGTCTTTTTCCTGCGATCGATAAAGCGTATTTGTTTGAAGCGCTTTGTGTGCTCGTCGACCCCACGTCGTCACAATAGTACATGTCTCTCTCAAAATGTGTTGCCTCAGCTTATTACAAAATCACGACACCTATACAGCTGCACTCAGAATTGCTTTAGGCCGTATTGTAACTTTCGGTGAATTCTTCACAGTTTAGCTCTTCTAGGCCCAGGCATGGTGACAGAGCAATGTAAGCAGCTCTAACGCTCTAATTCTCAAACAGTGCATCCATAAATGGCAAATCTGCTTCAGTTGCAAATGAAGGTGATGTTGGCCAGATATGTGGCAATCCATGCGAGGCTGAGCATGAGGAAGAGAGGTTCAGTGGAGACGAAGCAACTGGCTATGGCTGTATAGCGTTTACTTGTTTCTGTGTGTGGACACGAAGAGGAGGACAACAAAGTCAAGTGCATGCAAAGGGTGCCGTTCACATCGACCGCCATGTTGTCACAAGTGAGAGAGAAGAAAAAAATTGGCCCCGGATCTGCATGTTACATTGCAAATGCCGTCGAAAGACAATAGTCTTGCGTCTGGAGAATGTGAACAAAACATTTATTTGATGTTCTGCGCAAAAAAATCGGTGAATGGTATTCTGGAGGCGCTGCGTTGGAGTGCCTCGAGCTAGCAGCGGAGGCGAACGAGCGCAGCGAGGCTTGTTAGACACGAGCTCCATGTGGCAGTTATCTTCGAAAACGAAGGAAGGCGTGTGTGCCGTCGAAGAAAGATGCGTGCCATTCTCGGAGGCGATAAGGTGTAGAACGCAAAGCGACGGGCAGGTGCCACCACCGTGTCGTTTTAGCAAATCGTTGGTAACACTTGCCTTTTTGAGCACTGCATTGCACTGTCAGTGCAGCGTGTTTAACTCTACGGTCCTTAGAATTACTTGTGTGTGCCTTCTCTATTATAAAGGCACACATACAAAACATCGACGTGTTGCTATGATACCTCAGATATGTGCAATGATTGCTTTTTAATTGACAATCGCACAAGTATGAACGCTGGATCTTGAGCAATATTGGTGGGCGCTGCAAATGGAGTCAGCCCGTTTGAGGTATCGTTAAGGACGGACAAACAGACAAATGTACAGACAGACCAAAACTTTTTTGTTTAAGGTCCCCAAGAAAGACTATCGTATTTAATATACTGCGATTTGTCTGTCTGACTCAATTACCTACAATCACCTACAAGGGGTGACATCGGACACTTTCAAACTACAACCTGCCACACAACTGCACTGTGAACTTCGATTCCCCTGCAACGTTTTTCATTCATAGAGTCTAGTTATGCCACATCCAGAAGACGCCACAGTTTTTTCTGACGCCCCAGACGTTGCAACCATCAAGCACGTAGAATTTTGGCTGGTAGATCCAGCTCATTGGTTGCCCATCATTGAGTGCCTTCTTTGGCGCAATTGTGTGATCTCATTGCAGTTAAACTACAACTGCATTATCGGCGCTCTCACGACTTTGAATGCCTCCGTCCTGTGTGCCAACTTTGTGCAGCGATGGCCTACAATTCGTGCGACACGTTGAAGAGCACCCCTTTGCTGCACTGCAGAATCTGACCAACACTGCATGCAACTGTCTTAGAACGTACCCTTTTTGCACTTTTTCTGAAGAAGAGCAAGACTGTATGCCCACCCAAGGAACAAGCCACTCGATGCAAACGTCAACAGGAGTTAGCACAAGAGCCATAAGACCACTGCTTCGACAGCTTTAACGGCATGAAACTGGCTTAACCCCCTGTTTTTTGTGTGTATTTTAAGCTGCCACACATAAGAGTTTAATGGCATTTGACCTCATGATTTCGATAACAGCAAATTCCGAGGTGAGCATTTTTACGGTAATAATAGAAATAAACATGCATTTGTGAACTTACCTTGTATCAGCACCGCACATAATACCAGTGTCACACGGGCACTTTTAATCACAATTTGTGTCGATCCGGATTAACCACGATCCAGATTAAGTGCTGCTACACGGTCACTTTTAATCACGATGAGGCGCGATCGGCATTAAGACTATTGCGATCTGCGCATCACGATCTGCCTAAGAGATCACGATTTTGCTGTCGTCTGCACCACCTAGCCGAGCTTGTTGAAAGCACAATAAACAAGAAAATCGAGCATAGTTCAATAAAAACAGCTACATGTTTATAAAAAAGCAAATTCTAAACTGTTTAAATTGGAACAATATCTGAAGTATTGAATATATTAAGATTCGCATCGACCGCATGTAGTTATGAGAGAAGCAAACGACAAGCAGTTGACCGTTGCCTTCAGCGCTTAGTTCAACTCTCGCCCCGTCGGAGCTGCTGGAGCACCTCAAAGCAATCTGGTTATGAGTGTCACAATGATGATGATGTTTGATGTTTTGTGGCGCAAGGGCCATTTCACGGCCAAAGAGCGCCAGTTCATCTTACTAAGATGAACTGGCGCTTTTTGGACAATGATTGTGAATATGGACAATGATTGTGATAAGCGGCTGTATAAGGGCCATAAAATTCCTCGCGGTAAGGCGGGTAAAAACATACAAGTAATAAAATCATGACCATGCCGTGAAAGGTGTGTGTGGTGTGAATAGATGACAAAAGTTGGTGATAATAAAAGACGATGGTGGATATGTATGGCATTAGCACAAGTACCTCACTCGTTCATACCCTTGCGTCCAAGGGCCGCGAGGCAAGTGCTTTCCTGTGTAGCCAGCGCAGCAAAAACCTCTCTGGAGAGGTCGTGCTACGGGATGCCCGGATATATGATATGAAAACTATGAATTTCTTTTAAAAACGCTAACAATGATTTAAGACTAAAAAGCGGTTCCCTACCGACGAACATTGCAGGGTGTAAAGGTATATGTTGTCGGTAGGGTAATGGAAAATGTTGTTTTCTTAGAGTTTCTAAGTGTTTGCACTGAATTAACATATGAAGGACTGTTAATGCTTCACCACATCTGTCACATAATGGTGGATCGCCACCAGACAAAAGGTGTGTGTGTGTCGTGTATGTATGTCCTATCCTGAGTCTCGTTAGTATTACCTCTGTATGACGCGATTTCGATACGGGCAGCCAATGACCAAGGTGTGGCTTATTAACGTGTAGTTTGTTTTGTGTGTGTGTATCCCACTTGCTCTGCCAGTATACTCTGAGGTTTCGTTTGAGAGACGGCTTAATATCAAGGCCCGGGATTGATATGGGTGTAGGGGCAGTGCTTTTGTGGACGGATGCAGCGAGCTGATCCGCCCTCACGTTGCCTTGAATCTCACGTTGCCCTGGCACCCAGCACACTACAACATGTTGTTTGAGTGTGTAGAGTGTGCATAAAATAGAGTAAAGTGAGACAAGGACTGGGTTTTTGTGTTTTTTAAGAGTGTGCAGAGCCGTTACTACACTGAGGGAATCTGTATAAATTACTGCTTTTTGTATTTGTAATTGCTTGATGTGTTTAGCCGCCACAAGTATCGCATAGGCTTCCGCTGTGAAGATACTTGTGCCTGGATGTAGAGGGCCAGCATACGAAAAGGATGGACCGACAGCAGCGTAGGACACAGAGGAGTTAGACTTGGAGGCATCTGTAAAGAACTCAGGATGTGTGTATTTGTGTTGAAGTTCCAGGAAGTATGTTCGGATATGGGCAATAGGCGCATGTTTTGTAACTTCTAGAAAAGACACATCGCAGTCTATAGTCTGCCATTGCCATGGTGGCGGCTATGCTACAGGAGCCATTAAACTGTGTTCTAGTGAGACTCCAGTTTCCTCAGCTAGACTGTTCAGGCGAATTGAGAAGGGCTGCCTCATCGAAGGCCTGTTTTGAAACGAAATTGAGCTCGACAAATCATTAATAGTAGAGTATGAGGGGTGCTTCTTATCTGCTTTCACCTTAAGGAAATAAACAAAGGACATGTAAGTTCTCTGCAGATGAAGCGACCACTCATTTGACTCAACATAAAGGCTTTCTACGGGGCTGGTGAGAAAAGCACACGTAGAAAGGCGGATGCCCAAATGGTGCACGGGATCCAGCATCTTCAAAGCACTTTGAGTCGCAGACTGATAAACAACGGCCCCATAATCTAAGCGGGTGCAAATGAGGCTTCTATATAGGTTCATGAGACATTGCCTGTCACTACCCCACCTAGTACGTGACAACACTTTTAAAACATTCATTGCTTTTAAACATTTTGTTTTTAGATACTTGATGTGCGGTACTAAGGTCAACTTGTTGTCCAAGATTAATCCT